CGTCCGTGGGATTTGAACCCTAGACCTGCTACTTGGAGAGAGTGACGACTTGACCACTTCACTAAGCCGCCACACCTTATTTTATTACTATTTAAATTATTATTATTATTATTATTAAAATATATATTTAATAATAGATTTCTATGATGAATCCTTTTTCAGAAAAGAATAGCGTTATTGTTCTTGATAACACAAAGATTCATCAAAATGAAATGTTCGTTAAAACAGTTGAAGAACTTGGGTATTGTGTAATTTTTTTGCCACTCTATTCTCCCGACTATAATCTCATAGAAACAGCCTTTAGTACTATTAAAGGCTGGGTTTAAAAGAATAGAGATTTTATGAATGCCACAGATGATCTGTTTTATACACTCATGGTAGCATGTGCACATATCATATCCAAAATGGCAGTAAACTTTTTTCATGGATTGGAATATTTAGAAAAAATTTTCATTTATAATTAAATGTATTATTTATATTATTATAGGTTTTTTTTTTACAAAATTTAGAATCTATTAGAATCTTATTATATATTATTAAAATTTAGTAGATAGATAAATATATTATCAAATATATGAAACAGGACGATGATCGATTTAATAACCATACATTATATCACATATACAAGTTCTACTGATTGGTATAGGTTTAATCTAATGCTAAGTTCACTATCAGAGCCCAATATTCATAATTGCTCTTTGCTTTCGATTCACAATCTATGCCTATATGTATATTAATAATTATCACACAAGCTTACAAATATTACAAATCTGGGTGATTCTTACGACAATAGCCACTTTCATTTTTCTAATACTTTATTTCCCAATACCTCTACATTTTTATTTCTTGATGCTTCATTTTTTCTCTACACTTTAATTTCCTAGCATTCTTATTTCTGACATTTTCAATTCCAGATACTTTATTTTTCTAACATCCATTTTTTTTATTTCATGGCACTTTTCATTTCTCTGATATGTTTATAAACACGTTCATTTCTTTATGCATTCTTCTTCTTACACTTTTATTTTCCCAACATATTCTCCAAACATATTCATTTTTTTATTATAATTTATCGTTGTTTTGTTAAATCATAGCAATTGTAAATTTTTTCGAAGACCTTTTTCAAGATTTTAATCAATACTTGGCGATACCAATAATTACAATACTGTTATTCAAACTGGTGAAGAGCTGACTTCAAAGAATTTAAAGCTCTTTCTAATATATTATATGCGAGAACTTATTTTAAAAACACTTTAACTGATAAATATGCTATAAATAAAAAAGACTTGGTATACTTGTGTAAAGGAAATATACTTGATAGAGATTTTCAAAATTTGGCATAGTAAGATCACATATAATAAAGCACGTTTTATCGAGAAAAACACTCAAGGCAATGCAAATAGAAAAATTATAAAGAAAAAAAGAAGTTGAAGAGTTAAAATTAATTAAACAAAATAAAATAGATTACTCTTTTAAAGCCCAACTCTTATTAAAACTTTTAAGAAGCCCCAACTTTTAAGAATCTGTTAAAACTTTTAAGAGTCTTGGCTGTGAAAATAATCGGTCAATCAAAACTCCTTGTATTCAAATTGATGCATAAGTTATAAAAATTGCATTTTTATCTTAGTAGAAGAATGAATCCAAGAATAATGATTATTAAGTATTGATTAAGAATCGATTAAAAATCATGGTAATATGAGAAAGTTAAGTATTGTATAACTGATTAATTATGTATTAAGAAAAGTCAAATGTACTTGTGATATAATTAATTTGGAGTCTAATTTTAAGTATATAAGGAAAGTAAAAAAAAAAAATAAAGGAAAAAATCACTTTGGTTCCCCAGTATATTTTTAAAAAAACAGTATTCTTATAAAATATTGCAATTAATACCTTCGTATAAAGGTATTGGTATTTGCCTTTAACTTGTGGTCACTTTTTCACCTGTGTTTAGTAAGAACTGCGGCATTCTAGGAATCAACAGTTCAATACACATATTACTTAAATAAATCTGATATTCAATCTCCATACATGAGCAAATCCATAATTAAATCATTAATTGATTTAACAAACTTGATCACATGATTGCTGCAAAGGTTCTTCATGATCATCTTAATTTACACATTTATTGCTCAACTACTTGTATCTTATACAGTATATATTTAGATAATGCTCTTTTATAATTGCAAATTACATAAAACCTTATACTATTTATACTAGTATTTTGTCAAGAATTTTATTATATTAAGGAAGAGTTAGATATTATAGTACACTTAAAATTTTTATAAAAATACACAGTTGCTCTTGATACTAATATAATAGATATTGCATAGAGAATTATAATGGTCTCTGTTATATTAAGAGCCACTGTACATATTTATTTGTAAAATTTTATTAAAATATATTTGATTTGCTATCTATAAAAAAAAATTTTTGATATTCTAAATTTAAACTCATCAAAAAAATATAAATTCACCATAATACCCTATACCAGTGGCCTGGTGCCAATGTGCTGGACATGGGCATTTGCAAACCCCTAATATCTTTTTCCTGCCTGTTGGATATTTTTTCGCCACCTGATTTTGGTTACTTCTAACTTAAGTAATTCTGATTTATTTAAGTTCTTAATACCATTTATAGTAACATTCTCCTTTTCAAATGCTTCTATTAAATTCTTATAAGCTCCATTATCATTATAATTTCCATCTAATGCTTCAAAAAATTCTCGAAGGCTTGGAATTGAACCTGGATATGTTATTGCAAGTGGTGACTGCAATTGTAATATTACTGCAAATAGCAACTGCAATTGTGATATTACTGCAGGTGGTGACTGCAATTGTGATGTTACTGCAGGTGGTGACTGAAATTGGGATATTTGTTTAATGGCATTAGTTATACCAAAGGTCGGATACAAAGGTGGCATTTCGATAGTGGTAAAATTATATTTCTACAAAAAAAATATTTATTTAACTTGGGAAAATGGTATTTTCACACCCTTGTATAACATGTATATATTGAGATACCAAAATATATACAAAAATATTAGTTCCTTAACACTTACTATGTCTCGTGCCCACAAATATAAACATGTAGGTATTAATTGAAGATGTTTATTACTTTCAATATAACAAGGTGTAGCGTGAACATTGCATTGATACTTAGATCTAAGTTGCGAGATAATGCTAGCTAGTTCGATTTCATTAGACGAAAGTTTTGGTTTCTTTGGTACAAGATTCACTTTTAATTTCTTGCTATTTGTTTTTGGTGCCTCTTTATCTAAATTACTTTGTGCTTTAATTAAATTCTATAAATATATCGATATATACTGTTAAAAATGTGTAATACATATTATAATACAGTATACATATAGTATAAAATTAAACATACCTTAATTTTTCTTTTATTAGATAACTTTAGCATAATATTTAATATTATATATTTGCCTTCTAATTTTTGGCATTTTTGGCATTCAATAATGAAAGCATTATAATCATCATCTTCATCTAATGCTATCACTTTTTCACGACCGTTGATTTTATAGAAAACTTAAATATCATCTTTATCAAAATCATTGTTGGTGCATTGTTGAATATGTTTAATTAAATTATATTAGAAAATATCCAAGTTGTTGAACTCAAATATGAACCATTTTGCTGGTATTGGATCATATTTATTGACTTTAATTATGATCTGGGCTTTGAATTTTAAATCAAGATTAGAATGCTTCTCTAATGAAAGTAAGCCTATTAAAACGTCAGAATCATCGTTACTACCACTTGCAGGAGAAAAGTTGAGATCTTGCGAATTTCCTTTAGCACGATAATATTGTGAATGACATGTTGAACAAAAACTACAATTAAAGGATTGACTGAAATTACAACAGTATGCATAACGACAGTCACATTTTTTAAGAAATAGTTTTTGATTTATTTGGATATTATAAGAATTGTAAACCCTACTATAAGTTTTAGTAGACCAAGTTTTATTGTGAGTTGGTTTTTGGGTATTATCACAATTACATAAATATTTGGCTGAGTTGGCAAAACAAAATAAACACCTTTGACATGAAAAACATGTTTCAATTTTATAAAATGAAGACATTTTGGTTTGGTTTGTTTTTATTTTTACATATTAGTGATTTATAATCATTAAATACAAATATTATTATTAAAGTACATATTTATCTAAATATTATCGCTACACTACTGTTACTAGACAGAATCATATAACAAAAGAAAACAGCTATTGTTACAGAACAGAATCACGGATAGAACTGTAACAAAAATTAGCTACTGTTACATATCCAAGCAATATTGACAATATCCAATGTCCATGTCTACATGATTATCCTGCGGCAAGTAATGTATATGGACAAATATTCAATAAAATTAGTAAACATGGACATGTTATTGGCTATCAATACAATTATATCAATATAGTTTAATCAGAACTCTTCCCAACGATCATTTAAACCAAAAATCCGACTAAATAAAAAAACAAAATTTTTGTTGGAGAGACATGGCTATGAAGTGGTTTGTCTAGAGGTCAACGTTATTTGCCTTTCGGGACTCCTCTAAAGAGACATTTGG